CTGCGCATATGTCTTTGTTCTGCCTTAATCACAATCTGCCTGGTTTTGCAGCTTGTCTCACCCGCTCCTGGGAACCCTTGGGAAGCAGGGGTCAGCAAGGAGAGGGCACTGACCGAGGGTTAAAAGCAGGAGCCTCAGAATCGGACACAGCACAGCTTGCACCCTCCCTGTCACTCCACTTCCATCAGATCTCTGGAAAGGTAACTGTGAGGAATCTTAGATTTTTCCTCTCTCGAGTGCAGGTAATATGGGGGAGCATGCTCTGTGTTCAGATCTCCTGGTTCAAACTGGGGGTCATCACTTTACCTATTCATGTCTAAGTTCCTTTTCCTGTAAAGCAAGGATGATAATAGAGGAAGTATCTCATCGTGAAAATTAAAGTAATTAATTTCTGTAAAAATTATATAGAATATTGTACAGTGGGCAAATGAGCTCTCAATAAATCTCAGTTGTTGTTAACGTTATTATCCTGTAGAGCGTGGTGAGGAACACATATTCTCCTGCTGGTCAGGCGGGAAGCATATACACGTACAGTAAGATGCTCCAAAAATGGAACTCTTGCCGCGCTATTCCTGCACCCTCCCAGTGCTTGACAGGACGCGTTATTATCATTAGAAGTTGTCCCCAAACTATTGTTAAGTGGAATGAAGTATTTTGTAAGGAAAGTATCACACTCTAAGAATCAAGAAAACAGCAATAAATTTATAACAAGCCCACAAAACAGGGCCAGCACAGGCCTTGTGTCACTCTTAGCAGTCGCTTCTCTGGTTGCTTGAAGATTATCTTGTATAAAGAAGTCATGTTTTTATCAATAGATTAAACATGAAAATACACCTCTGCGCTTGGTATTGCCTCTAGCTGGCCCTGCACCCCACGCAGAGGGTAAAATACCAAAGACGTTATCCTAAAACCCACTCTCCCGCTGGGGCTTTAAACAAGGCAGCGCTTTATAATCATTTATAGAACACAGACCGGCAGAAGTAAAAGTGTGAACACGGGAGAATTGGTGAGTTTGGCCTCCAAAGAGTTTTCTCTTTCGGAGAAACATATAAAACAACGGCTGATTTATAGCAATGCATAAAGTCTAAACGGATCCGACACAGAGGTTAACGAAGGCTCCAGCGAGCTCTACAAGTTGTGACTGTAAGGAGATGAGACCAGCTCTTTACAATTGACCACTTTGGGTGCATTTTAATACCTGCTTTCAAATTCTGAAGACAGAACACTGATCACATGATTTACATGACTTTTTTTTCTAACTGAGTCATTAGAAGTAAAGGGGTGGTCTGTACACCAAAATCCAAAATCAGTACACATAATCTAATATGAGGTCCAAGATAAGAGGAGACTGCTTAGAATCAGCACTTTCCTGGACAAAGCCTTAACAAGCGAAGAGGACAACCCCTCCTCGTTTAACACCACTCTAATATTTGAAATAACCTACCTAAGGACATCTTGTCATTATACCATGACATACGGTGATAAAACTGAATTTTAATCATTGAACTCTGGAGTGGTACACATCACATTAGTGCCTACAGTTTTGAATTTATGAGAGATGTGGTGTCCACATAAGATATGAAAACACGTTCTTATAAATGTTCTATTGACTCTAAAGATAATAAATGGAGGCACATGACCACACACATTATAAACATAATCAGACGGATAAACTTGAGAAACAGTTCATAGCAATTTCTTTTATATCACTGTCAATATTAGTCTTCTCGATCCATTTGCAATAATGGTTTCAAGAAGGAAATGCACCCAGATTTTAAGAAATAATTTTTCTTCTTAAATGCCAGCCTTGTTAAAGTGAAAATAAGCATTCTCTGGGGGATTTAAGGATTTCTCCCTTTGTGAAAATAATCGGGTTTCAATACACTCAGATGAAACAACGGAAGATACGTGGAGGCCAAGTGCAGTTGCAGGGTGAATTATGTAAGTTAAATGCAGCCAACCGTGAGAAATGTAGTTGAAAATGGACCTAAGATACTCACTTTTTTAGTACATGCTTATCTTGGGATAGCAAGATATTTTTAGCCAATTAGCTCACTCAATTGACTAAGCATCTCCTACCTCATTTAGTCAAATAAAGATTTAGCAGGGGAACTTGCGCAAGAGAGTGATTTCACAGTGGCATACAGACAAGGCAGAAACAAATCCTCAATAGAAAATAACTTGTCCAAAGCAGTATGACACCTAGTAAAATTAGTGCTCGTTTTCTAAATGGGAAAAGCAAAGCCAAAGGACTTCTCAGCTTATCTGAATACTCAAATAAAGAGTATTCAAATACTCAAGTAAAGACTTGAGAATCAAATATCAAATTTAGTTGGAAAAATAAGTAGAACAAGCTCCCTACTTTGTTTATTCTATTTGTGCCAATTTTTTTATTTTTGTTTTAAGACATTAAGGGTTTTTGCTAATAAAATAAATATGCACATTCTTCAACAATGATAGAAAGAGTTAAGTAACTATTATTCCCTCATTATTCCTTATGAAATGAAGTTAACTATATAGTGGGCGAAGTGTTAAAGAATTTGTGGGATTTAAAAACTTAAAGAAAAAAATTGACAAAAATATACAGTAAAACCTATAGGGTCCTTGAAAGAGTCGTTTTGATGTTTTCTCTTTTTCAAGAAATAGTCTCAAAGTGCTAAGAAACACAACAAAGAGTTTGGGGAATGTATCTTTCAAGATCCACAATTCAATTCCCTGAAGCCTATAAATAACTTTCTTCTGTTTAATCGATAGGCATTTCTTGCTCTGTGATAAGATAAAGTTATCTACTGTTAAGAGATACTGGGGGAGAAATGAGGACAACTGTAATTGAACAACAATAAAAAATAAGCCCAAAAAGAACGAGTGTATTTTTTAATAAATATAAAAGCAGATATTTGAAGTTATTTTTTTTAATGGGAAGATGATTATTCTGAATCAGTTCTTGCAGCTGCTAATCTCTTAGACCTACGATCCAAAGCCAGAGATAAAAGCCACAACAGCATTGCTGCCGACCTGACCGGCTTTCCAAACAAACAGCGGAGCCAGGTCTTTCAACAAGGCAGGACGCTGTCATCGAAACCGAAGACCAGTATTTGGTCCAGACACGCTGTTTCTTGGAAGCTGACCACCAGGTTTCCCTGGCCTCCTCCACTCCAACCGCTTCTGCCTCCTTCAGGCTGCCCCTGCTCTCCAGGGTGCAGCTAAGCGGGCTTTCTCTCTGCTTTGAGATGCACTCCAACCACTCAAACCAATCTTCACTTTTCAGATGTCCTGTCAAAAGTGTTAAAAAATGATTTTTTTCATTCAAAATAAAAGGTGGCTGGATGAAGACTCAAGGAGTAAGAGTTACAGTCAGGGAGTCAAGAGATGCTTAGGCCGCTTTCACTCCTTAGCTCCCTTTCTGAAAGGGAGTTCTTTCTATGCCTGAGAACTCTAGGGAAAAAAGTGTAACTTTATTGGTGTTACCACAGAAGTTTCTTGAGTTTCCACATATCTCAATACTTAAGAAAATAAAAAGAAAAAATCTAGGACCCTTAACTTACAACATCTATTAGCTACATACACAATAAAAATTAAATATTAAAAATAAATTATACCAAAATCAGGAATACCGACCATGCCAACTGCTGGTGAGGCTGTGGAGTCAAGGCAGTCCATACATTCCTAGGAATGTGAGATGGAATACAGCCACTTTGGACAACAGTGTGACAATTTACTACAAAACTAAACACACCCGTACCATACGATCCACTAACTGAATCCCTTGGCCTTTACCCAAAGGTGTTGAAAGTTGTGTCTACACAGAAACTTGTGCAAAATGTACATCGCAGCTGTATTCATATTTGCCAAGACTTGGAAGAGACCAAGATGCCCTTCAGTAGGCTAATGGGTAAATAAACTGTGGCATATCCAGAAAATGGAATATTATTCAGTACTGATAAGAAATGAGCTACCGAGGCATGAAAATAGACAGAGGGCACTTAAATGCAATAAAATTAAGTGGAGAAAAAAAAGCCCATCTGAAAGGGCTATGTACTTTATGATTCTATCTGACCTTCTGAAGAAGGTGACACTGTGGAGACAGTAAAAAGAGCAGTGGGCACCAGGGATTCGGGGAGAAGGAGGGCTGACCGGGCGGAGCACAGGGGGTTTTGAAGGCAGTACAAATACTCCGTGTGCTGCTATACTCTGTATGACGCTGTAATGATGGAAACGCATAGAATGTGCAGCACCAGAAGAGAATCCAGTGCAACCTACGGACTTCGGGTGATGGCGACGTGCCAGTGCGGGCTCACCAACTCTGCCCCAGGCGCCACTCTGGCAAGGGACGCTGACAACGAGGGCGGCTGTGCATGCGTGGAGGTGGGGGGTGTACGGGAAGTCTCCACACCCTCTCATGATTTTGCAGTGAACCTAAAACCACTTTTAAAACGAAGTCTTTTATAACCAGAAAACGAACTACTCAGACAAAAAATTATGGTTATTTTTCTCAATAAATTATGCCTCAAAATGAAAGCATAATTCAATATTCTAGATGGAAGAGTAAAAGGATCTTTTTGAGCGAGCGAGACCAGTAGGGGCAACCTTGTAAGTCCCATAAAGGAAAACAAAGAAAGACTCCACGTTGCATCAGCCTCCAGCCCAAGGAGTGAATAAGCAGACACACAGGTTTCTGGAAATGCTGAATGGCAACAAACCCCAGTCACTGTACGAGCATGAGTTCTGGGCACCGCACCTTGGTCCCCAGACTTGGCTGACTAGCCCACCTTGGTCCCCACTGAACCCTGTGTCCTTGGGACACAGAACTGACCTAGGCCTCAGCTCAGATGCTGTATGTAAAGATTCAGAAAACAGCACTTACCTTATAGGAAAAAATGTTTTATGAAACAATGTTCATAACAAATTTGTAAAATATATAGTGATATAAATAATGTACTTTCCAAACTTAGTATACAAATTATTATATTTATTGATATAAAAAAGATGGGATTTCTTACCAAGGATGAATTCCAACTGTGGTTCACTGGGCGACTTCTGAATACCTATAAATAAATGGTAAGAAATCAGGTTAAAGATGTTTAACTCATTATCAAAAATATGCCACTGAATATTAGTATGTTTCGCCCTGCCCAGAACATACTAACACACTATTGAGCAGAGAAATAAACTCGGTTGATCAGACTCGTATGCAGCAGGTTCTCATGGAAGGACACTCGTGTGGCAGAACGAGGTATGACTAAAGATTTGACTGACCTGTCTCACTCCATGGCCAGAAGGAACCTCAGAAATACTGCTTTTGTAAGCTGTGACAAATACACAACATTTCTAACTGTGTGTTTCTTTTGGATGCATGTAGGCAGGACGGAACCTTCCAAGAGGGATGCCCTCTCCAAAGTACCCTTCCATATAGGGCACTTTTTTTCAAACCACTCCAATCTGCTAGACACAGTACATGATTCATTAAAGGGATGTCTCTCGTTAGGTTATAAAGGATATCATACTCATGGTTATACTACCATCAACTTACTGAGAGCTCAAATCAACATTCTGTTAAATGCCTCTACTTCTTTTCCTGGAGATTTTTAAAACATCCAATCACATGGTCAATGGCTTAGGATGAAGTAGAAGGAAAAGGCAGCCTGAGGACGAAGGGAAGGGAAGGGGAACATCCGACCGGTGAAGGCGGACGGGCCGTGTTGTGGGGAGGGACGATGGGCAGGCGGGCGCCCGAGGACCACACGCAGTACACGGGCTTCCTACACGGGAGTGGGGGGGGGGGGGACTGGGACGCCGTTGGACCCCTCACGGGTGGCCAAAGAGGCAACACTAAATTTATGGAAAAACAAACCATTGGGCAGTAAGTGTAAGCATTTTACACAAATCCTTTCCTTGTTTATTTTTACTGGTGGGTTCACCAGATACAATTTAAATTTAACAGCATCTGGTCACTAATATATTGTTAGAGCCACCTCCTAGTGTAAAAATCATTCTTTTTTTTTATTTAAAGAGTTCACAGTGTTTGCATGGTAACCGTCTTATTTTTTTTCTCCTGCTGACATTTAACAATGCTGTGGCTAACAATTTTACTCTTTTCCAAGAGAGGTTAGAATGACAATCACCAGGTTGGCCTTTGTGCATTCTGCACAGTGTGGGTTTTTTAAAAGGTTATTAACAATTAACTCCGCTGTAAACTCTGACAACCAAATTTCTCAGAAAAATGCATCCAATGCCATTTTCTAAAGATTATTTTTATAATGTAAATTAAATGAGAGGTTAGGCATATATTTGCCAGTGTTAATAACTGGGCAAAAGGAATCTTCTGAAATGAAAAGAAAAAGACACAATTCATGCTAAACAATAAACCTGAACTCTAGAATTTTAAACACGAGAAACATACGATTCTTCCAGTAATTTTAATTTTGTGCATAATACAAATCCCAATTGCAATGTTCAGATGTAAGCTGGGCCCAAATCTCCAAGCTCGCTCCGCTGTTGGGACTTGGCGCTCACAGGTAGGGCAGTGACAGCAACGCAACCGCTTTTGCCCTAATGCTTTCCAGTGATATATCTTTGGTTTTACAGACAAAAATGTCTGTGCTCCCAAAACATTTCACGTGACATTATACAAAAGCTCAATAGAAGGTGTGCTTAAAAAGTATTTGTTAGAGTCTTAATACATGATTCCACCATTTGATATTTAATGGTTTCCTGGACCATCATCCAACTCACAGAAGATGAGAAAAGATAAAGAAGCAGTGCTGGCCAGGTAGCTCAGGCGGTTAGAGCATCTCCCCCATGCACCAAGCTTGTGGGTTCAATCCCAGGTCAGGGCACATACAAGAAGCCACCGATGATGCATGAATAAGTAGAACAAGTTGATCTCTCTCCCCCTCCCTCTTCCTTCCTCTCTCTCTCTAAAATAAAAAAAACAAAAACATTTCATAGACTCACAACACCAAACTAAGTAGTGTAAAGGAAAAAGAGTGAGTCGATCTCACGCCATTTGTTAGAGCCTCAGTTCCTGTGAGCACACACGCGTGTGTGTCTGGGCCACCCAGGGTGCATTGTCCGAGGGTCCCAAGGAGGCGCACGCACATACTTACTTGTCAACTGAAAGTCCCCAGTGTCATTTGCCTGGGGCGTGGGAAGAAAGTGCTGGCCTTCCTCCGACGCTCCTTCCTCTTTGATTTCCATGATTAACCTTCACAGTTGTATAATTTTCCAATGTTTTCTGCCCAAATGTCCGTGCCGATGATTCCTGGTCTAATATCGACGTTATCTTCACACTAAAGACCTGATATCCCACTCTGAAACTCTGCATGTTGGAAACATCAAGAGCAAAAATGTCAGTTACTTCAAAGTCCAGTCTAAAGCTAAGAATTAAAAAGGTGGGTAGAGATGATCACTTCCTGCCTGCCTATACTGCTTCTACACTCGAGGTCAATCCACCCAGCTAGTGGAACTCTGGGTTGAAGGGGTCTTTTCTCTGCAGTTATTTTATGGTCATATCAGAAACTCTAAATCCTGAAAGGTATAGTCTTTCTCTCCTTGTCCATTCTGTAAGAAAGCAGACAGCTACAGGGGCTGCTAATTTAAATGCACCCGATTTAGCAGCATGGACAGCTAGCATCTTGTCAAGGCGTTGTAATGTTTTGCCAAGGTGAATATTACTCTCACTCTTTCCATTAGAACTGCCCTGTGTGCTCATCTCTCCAGCCATCCTTGTTAGGACATTATTCATGGGCACATAAAGGTAATTTGGCAGGACACTCTTCTTCCGAGATGAGCCAGCAGGTTGGACAGGGGAGTTTCCAGCCTCATCATTAGCCACAGAGCCTCTTACTGCTCTGCCTGATAAAAGTTTAATTGTTTAGTGATTTTGAGGTAGATGCTGAAAACCATGAATAATAATCCCTAACAGCTAAAGCTCGAGGGGAAATGCAAGGGGCAGCAAAATGATGAAAATTAGCGTGGGGCAAAGAAAGCCCCTGCAAGAATGTAATACCCTGAGATGCAGTCGGCCTCAAAGGGTTTCAAATTCATTTTGATATTTAACATGATATGCATGACCAAGAAAAAATGAGAAAAAAAAATCAATGTCGTTTTAAATCAACTGACCAGCTGAATTAAAATGTATAAAAATCTTTAAATGTCTACCCGAAGCTTTTTAATGAGATAGCAGCAAAAGCGCGCGGGTTTGGAATACCAATTTGGTCTCCAACTGCACAAATCCACAGCCTTACTCTTTGTTGTTCTGAACAAAGCGGCTTCATTTATAATTCATCTTTAGTTTGGAAGATAATCTGGCACAAATTAAATCCAGAAAGCATCTTGAATCTTTAGAAAACAACACAATAAATTTGCAGATAAATACACATTGGCTTCTAAAGATACAACCAGGAATGCCTGCCGGGGTAAAGGGCCATTGCACCATATTCCGTTGATTTGAAAGTCACATTTTGAATTAAGACAATGCTTTCTCGTTGATTTTCCACTGTTGAAGTTTACAAGTCTTTCTGATGAGGACAGACATGTATTAACTATCCCACATTCTCTCGAGAACCAATGACAAAATGCAAAATGCATGTAGGACTTAGACACAGGATTTGGGTAACTTCACTCTATTTCTGGATCCAAGACTCAACCCTCACGCCTAATGAGTGACCTTAAAAATTGAAAAGGAAACATATATGTGTCCTTTGACTAAGCCCTTCACGTTCTTTCAGCCAGGCCCCTATTCCCAGTAACAACGATTTATCTTTATTTTATATCATTCAAAAATAACAGCAGAATACAAACAAAGGTTTCAGGAAAAGGTCCCCTTTGATAAAAATGTCACAAATTGACAAATGTGATATTTTACCTGATAAAAAATCAGGCATTTTTTTTAAGGTCAAGGTCCTCCTGGCTTCTCCTGAGGCCTCTGACTAGGCAGCGTGATAGACTAGCATTCAGGGGCAATGTCTCTGCCTGGGAAACACAACTGCATCACAGGCTGCTGAATTCCCCGGCCTTCGGTATGGTTTTGCTGCCAATATTAAATTCAGTGCGGATCCGCTTTGTCACGCGGGAGAAAAAAGATGAGAGTTGTCGGGGCTCCAGTTTGATCAAAAGTCCAGCTGCTGGGGCTCAGAATGGAACTAGCCAGCAACGCTCTTCTCATCTTTACCCTGAGGAAGCAGCCCTGATGGGAGCCAACACAGTGGACCCGCGGATTTAGCAAGAACAAACAGCACCAGTCCTTTAAGTCTTTGCCACTTAAAACAGGGTCCCAGTACCAGCGGCATCTACATTTCCGGGAAGCTCGTTAGAAATGCAGACCGCTGAGCCAGACCCAGATCTACTACATGAGCATAGGCATTGTGGCACAGGGATTCCTGCGTGCATTCGAGCTCGAGAGGCAGCCCTCCGAGGCACAGAACACCCAGGTTCCAGGCTCATAAACGGGGAACGGGGAGCGGTGAAAAGGGAGTTCCAGCAGATAAATGTCAATATGGGCTCAAGGTCCATGTCGCTGAGCCTTACTTTCTAGACTGATGCCAGTAGCTGTCACGGCTCCTGGCCTGGACTGCATTCTTTCCAGCCACTGACTCATGTCCTACCTCCAGGGCTCCTTTCTTCACACGACCTCAGTGACCTGCCTGGGGCTCCCACCTATCTTCCCGCCCAGCTATCACTTGGCCTCTTTGTGATAGACTCTTGCCAGTGGCCAGTCTCACCCCAGCCTAGAATCTGTCCTGACTTCCTTTATCTTGGCTCTCTCTAGCCTTAGCTCTGCTGCCTGCCTCTTGGCAGAGCATGCAGCTCTTGGCAGTCAGACCAGGTGCCTCTGAGGCTACACAGAGCCAGGTCGTGGCATGCCACACTCTGAAAACTGCTGGAGCTTGGCGGCTCACAATAAGAGCTAGTCATCAACTCAGAACCATTGTCCAATGGTTCCCTAAAAATGTTTGTACTGTGGGTTTAGGGCACACAGTGGTTCAAAGTATTGTGACACACTGAGACAGAGGGGCAAGGGGTGGTGACAAGAGAACCAATTGAAAAAATACAGCTGACCAGCATGCCACATTTCCCTTTCTTTCTTGCAAATACCAAATCAAAGGGGCTCTGCTGATACCCACCCAGTCCTCACGGAGTTCCGTCTTCACCGCTGCTTCTGAAGCACATTTTTAGCCAAATTGTCTAAGGATTTATGCACTTATTCTGGGTATATGATATGCGTCATGCTCCATGTCATCCCTTCAAATGCATTAAATTAATACTCATAACAAATTTACGATATGAGTATTTAAGATAAGCTTCACCAGCTTTACAGGTGAAGAACTGAAGGTTAAAAAGTAATTTGTCCCGGGACCCACTTAGTAATTACAGAATCAAGGATGGGAACTTGAGTGTCTGATTTCAGAGCATTCTCTCTACTCTACTTACCACGTCTTTTAATTTTGCCCTACAAAAATTGACAAACTTTTATTATCCCTTAAGAAAGAAATCAGGGCAATGGAAAGAGAGGAAGAATGGAGGTCTGGAAAACATTGATTTATGCTTTCATTTACATTTTTTCTTTCTTAAAAATAAAAGCCTCTGGAAAACGTATAGTCTATCAATATAGCATTTAACACCTAAGTACCAAAACCCTCAGGAAAGAGAAAACCCGGTCATGACAGATTATTTTTATGATTCTATTTGTAATGCCATTTCTGATTGACATGTGCTCATTTCCAATTCTTTTCCTTGGTTCTGCGGGAATATATGTTCAATAGACAAGCCAGCATTTTAAAAAATCAAGAGAAAAATTACAAAAATTAAAGTTGGAAGATAGAAACTAATGATTGACTATATCTGATTCTCCAGGTCCAGCATTCTGGTTGCTTAACAGAGGATAATATGTTCATCCTGTGCTGCTTTGAATCCGAGGGCTACCTTTTGGAGAGCACAATCCAGTAAAGAAACGATCTCACATCACAGCGAGCATTAAATGACCCAGCACAATCTTGACATTCAGAAGGAAAGAGCCCAAAGCAGCGAGGCAGAGAACTCCGTGCATCAAGCAGAGAGATTATGCCTTTGGTTTGGGATCAACCAGAGGACAGTCTGTTGCTCTGCTGTTTGGAACGAGGCTAGGAACAGTGTTGGTCCCCACTGTACACCAAGTAAAAGGGCGTCTCTGTTGGTCAATCTCTGTGACAAGACACCCCTAATCCTGAGAATGCCCATGGCTTTGCCTCAGCACCACATCAGGCCAGAACCAGAATTTAAAGTTTCCAACAGTGACCTGATGTCCTGTGGGGGACACCTGGGTCACTTTTGGGAATACAGTGAGTCAGCCATCTGATGTGCTCGAGAGTATTCTGAGTTGGTCACAAAGATGGCTGCATCCCGGAGAATTACAAACGAGGGTCTGAAACATGCTTGATCAAATCCCAATGATCGCTTGGCTACAGCTTGGTTACATGTGTGTACCTACCATCCCGCTTTAGAACACTGGGCTACAATATTTTGAGAGAATACAAAATTGAAGAGACTTGGAGGAAAAAGGGGTCACCCTATGTAGAGCACAAGAGGACAGAGGCCCAGAGACGGGACAAAGAGCCCCCTGGGCCCAGCTGGCTGATGGCCACGTGCAGATGAAAGAGAAGGTCTTGTGTTCGGAGGTGGGCCTCTGCCCTTCTCTTCGGAATGCGACCCTCTGGGTGCTTCTCACTGGTCATCCAAAAGATCGCGAGAACTGGGTCTTTCAGAAAAGGCTGGTATCTCACAGAAACCTTTTCTCTTATAAATGCTTCATGAGATACCTTGGGCTTTGCTTACTTAACAAAAACTTGTAAAACCTGATCTGGAGCCCCCAATCTACTTTAAAAAAGAAAAATTACTATTACACAGCAAAGGCTTTAAAAAATAGCACAAAAGAGTTACAGAGCACTTCACTAGATGCTCAGATATTTTTTTAATGGCCTTGACTGTCATCTGAAAACAAAGTTAAGGACAGTTTATTGTCCACACTTAAGATAACAGAGTTGATTTTTCCTAATACTTTTATTCAACAACAGCCTATTCTGGCTCCTCGCAGCCCATCTCAGGCCCATGTCGAGAAGCAGAGATGGATAGAGACCATTTGAATTTGGCTGATGGTTTATTTTTTTTTTCACTTTTACTAAATAAGAGGACTCAGAGAAGTGCCACCTCAGCATATCAAATGTTTCAAAAATCCTTAAGAACTCTGATGCACACACGTATACCCAGGCCCATCGAATACCACGTGCTCAAGCAAAACTAAAACGGAAGCTGTAATTACATCCTCCGGGCATGTCTAATACA